TATATATATATATATATATATATATATATATATATATATATATATATATATATAGTAATGATGATAATATAATTTTTATTCTATCTGTATTATCATTTTTTAATTTTCATTGATTTGATAGAAAAATTCATTGTCTTGAAACTTTGATTCGCGTTTGATAGATTGAGCTTGATACATTTATCGATACAGCTGACCAGGAAACTTGTTTTTTGTTTCAGATCTGCCGGAGATTGCGGGCACACGTGCGACTGCGGCTTTATCGGCGCGATCGTTTTTTAATTCGTGAGCTTTTCACGCGAGTGGCGAATGTGTTCGCGACAGAACTGGCCGTATCGTGATAAACACTCATCGAACGAATTCACTAAACAAACTCGTAAATTTCGTTCCGGGATTAATGAAAACCGTTCGTTGATATCGTCGAAATAATTGCAAAATATCGTTAAAGATACAAATATAAATCGCGTCGCGAGTGCAGTGAAGTGTAATCAACGTGGGACTATTCAGTAGCGAGTTTTGTCGATGGATTTGGCGGGATATTAGTGGAGCTGACTGAACGTCGGTGGATTTCATCGCTAAATGGTGAGTATCCAATCTTAACACTCTCTCAGAGTGTAATTTATCATAGTGCATGTATAATGGTAAATCCACCGATGAACGGAATAAGAGCAGTTGTACACCGCTGCCTCTCTGCGAATGATTAGTGTCCTGACTGTTTTGGGACATTTTTCTCCTTTTAAATATATAATTTCCAATTATTTCTCTCACAATTGAATACTTTTAATTGTGATATATTACGATTATGATATTTAATTCTAATACACAAGATATCGCTGAGATTAGTGCATGAGTTCAAGTGGTATGTAAAAAGCGACTGAAAATTAGAATTGCGCTAATATTTTTATTTTTCGTGTAAAAACGTATCGTACACATATACGATACGAGTTGAATAACAATATATTTTTACAACATCACGTTTTCACAAAGCTGTAAGTAGTACAATAACGTCGAATGACGTTTCAATGACGCATTGAAGAAGTCTCAAACGTCAATAGTATGTCATTTTATATCATCATGTTTACTTATACTTCAAAGTGGAATAACTTTTGATTCAGGTTTTGAATCAGTCAAGTTACTTACGATCATTTTTAGAGATGCAGACAGATTAATCTCTAATTTCTCCTACATGTTCTCATCACTTTTGGGATATGGGTAGTACATCCTTGAACAGATTTAGGGATCAATGGCGCACAGTAGCGCGCGTTTGTAACAAGTACTTGGTAATAAAAAGATTAGCCAGGGGCTAAGCGGATTTTTAACTGCTCTATTGGAGGATTACGCGTGAATTTTGACGGAACGAACGGCTACATACCGTAAAATACACGGGCAACGTGTGTGATAGTGTAACGAGCTAATCCACTGGGAGGGTCGCGCTCTGTACTCATGTATCTCTGTATTACTGTATCTCATGTTCATAACTTCGTTCGACGTAACTTCGTCGCCCGGCGAAATCGCATCGATCTATGTGTCACTTGAAATCATTATTAAAAGCAAATTTATACGGAGGGATCCTCTTTCGAGGGTCGGCGTTGAATTTTTGAGTGACTGTTTATATTTTGACGAGAGAAATAGCGGTTTCGAAAGGCCTCGAGTTTATAAGAGCGCTCGAGGCTTTCCCGTGCGGATTCGTGGGCGCCTGAAAGTGGAAGCGGAGAAAGAGAGAAAGGGAGAGACTGCTAAGCTCCGAGATCGAAGTCGGCTTACGATGCACATGTTTTTGCATCTCCTCCATACGCGGAGGTACACGTTGTCTCCGTATGAAAGTCGATGAGTGTTCGACGAGCGTCGACTCGGCTCGAGCGGCAATCACAGTCTCTGCTTCCGTCATCGAAGAATCGCGGTCGCATTCTCCATTTACCGTCGCGCCTGCTGCTGAGGGGCCGAACATTGATCCAGCAAGAAAAAGAAAATTCACATTCCTCGCGAGAACGGATAAATCGAGGATCCCCTTCTGCTCTTGCGCTTTTCGAACGTCTCAAAGATGCAGGCTCGACGAAGCATCGCGACACCCCGATCCTGAGCGCGGTCTAATTGGCACGATCGCGAGTGATTAACGCGAGTATCCATTCCTTGAAACATGATCGGGATAAGGAGGAAATGTCGCGGATGGGCCCGAGGAGACGCGCGGGGCACGACGCCCTCGCCACAAGGGTCCCGTAAATTCCGGCGAATCGTTTTCATACGCTAATTAACAAAACGGATTGCAGCCAGGATCCCCCGCGAGAGATGCATGCCATGCATACTCTGGGCGATTTATCACGCAATAATAACCGCGTAAACGCTTAAGCCGAGGAAAGTTACAACCCCCTCAGGTTGGCCGGTCTTAATGCTCGTCGTCGCTGAATAGCGCCCGAATTTATACGGTGCTCGTAGGGCCGCGCACCGCGGAGTATAACGTCGATTATCATCCGGAATTCGTAATGCCGCTCCCTCATACTTGGCCGCGATATCGGCTAATTGGCGTGATTCTGGCTCCTTCGAGACTCGCGATCGCTCGACCAGAAAACCGGAGCTTCCAGTAATTATAACATGCGAATTATATTTTTGAGTTTAATTATACCGACACGAGTAACACGAACGGGAGGTGGATCGCGGAATTGTAATAACGATCAATTATTCCGATCGTGCCATTAAATTATGTTTTCTCTCGTACTTTAATTACTCGCAAGCTAAACGCGAAATAAACCCCTGTCGCCTCTGAAATTTGCATACGCAATTTAATCGTACGCGTGTTGCAAACAACGCGACGAGCAGTTCGATGTCCTGTTATTAGCTGTTCCGTTAATCGCGCGGGCTTATTATTATAATTTCGTTAACCTTCTTTATATGTCTTTATCTACTATCTACTTAAGATTATAGTATCCAGTCACCTAAATTCGAACATTTCTTAAATCCTCAGTCCTTTATTGCCTTAAGTACAATCAGTATATTCTCCACTGAAATGCTATACTTGTAACTGCAGAGAGAGTTCAGTTAGAAATATAACACTGCGATCAGTAAATCACCCTGAAAGAATCAATTAATAGTAGCGACTGTTCTTATTGATTGAATGATACACTTTACGAATACAGACAGATCATTGTATGCGAGACTCATGGTAGTCGTTAATTTCATTATTGCAAACGTTATATTTAAAAGAAAGTTATATTTGGTATAACGTAGAACGGATTTATATATTACAAAAATTTTACAGTATATTCTTGCTTCTACTGATCAGACTCCGTAAGATATAAGACAAAACAGTAAAGCGGGAGTATTTCCATTGAAAATCAGTGAGTACTCACGGAGATCAGTGATAAAATTTTAATTATTTAATTAAAAGCATCTTTACTGATCCATCTTAAAAAAGTATGTTGTAGCATTTGGAGATAAGAGGGAGATGTTAAATTTTAATAAGTGCGTTTTGTTTTCTTTCTCTTTTTATTTATTCTTGTTTGTCTTTGCTTTTTTATTTTTTCTCTCTCTCCCTTTTTGTCTTCCTCTGCTCTGCTTCTCGTATTTCTTTGCTTCCTTCCTTGATCTTTCTTCTTTTATTTTTTTATTAATTTAAGATGTTATATCAAGAAGGTAAATTCCCGTAGAGAGATATACAAATTTTCGCGCACTGTCATCTCAATGAACCTTGTAATCATTGTCGAACATGAGACGAATGCGAGACGAACATTTCGGTGGTTTTGAAAATGCGCGAGTTTTCAAAATGGCGATTGTATTATTGCACCATTTCGACAGCCCTTCTTCCTGTTAAATGTCCGTAATGACCGATCATTCGCGTCTCGTTACCGCAAGACTTCTTTTCGTGCGAAAATCGATGATCCGTGCATGCCGGAAACTTTCCCCCCTATCTCTGTCTCTTTTTCTCCTTCTCAGATTCCGATAATTCAAATCGCGCGTGAATCAGCGCGACTGCAGAATTTCGCTGAAAATAATCCGGCGATAGCGAGTTGGAGCCGGGGAGAAAGCGCGTAAGAATGTCCGCGGAATTAATGTACGGGCGTATATCAGCATCCCTCGCGCGCGAACGAAAGCCGCGCCATGATAAATCAGCCCTCGCGCGATATAAGGCGGATATAAATAAGGACGCGTGAATAACTGGCATTTTTAACCGTCCGGGGCAAACCGCGTCTCTCTCTCTCTCTCTCTCTTTCCTTTCCTCTCTGTCTTTACCTCTTTACACGCGCGCTATGCCACGTCGGTGGAAACTCACCCCCTGCGGAAAATCGGGATATACATCGAATGCGAGCTAGAGCACGCCTCTCGTCCCCTTATCGTCCTTATCTGCTCGCCCATATATCCGGACTATTTCTTCCCGTACATCGGTGCTCTCGCATTCGATATACTCGCCGGCAAACACAGCCGTCGATACGAGTAAATAAGACGATAAATTTACGACGGTGGATTCCTATCCCCGCGCTACTCCGATAAACATACTCGCCGATTGCCAAATACTCATTTATCGTCGGGATAAATCCTTTGGACATCCGAATCCCTTGGAAACGCTCGAAGTCGCCGACGACGAGGTGGTGGTTCTTTCGCGCCCGTGCGAGAGGAACGACGAGCGATTTATCGGCGCGAATCCGATTGCCTTCAGTCTCCTTCGTGCGAAATATCGTCCGGCCAACGATGTTTGTTAACATCCCGAGGAGCGCGAAAGAACTCAAGTCTGTGAGTAGAGATCGCGCGCGCTGGCGACACTCATCGTCTCACGATGGAAAAGACAATTATTTCATCCTTATTGCCTTCTTCTAAAGTACGCCCTTTTGAAATTACTCGCGCAAACACTAGACTAGGGGGATTTGCGGCCAGCTCGACAATCGCGGCACTTGACGCCGACGCTCCTCGCGCACTTTCGCGCCGCAAACACTCGCGTGAGACCCATTGTTCCGGTCTCTCCTACTTCTGAATACCAAAGTCATGCTCCTCCCGCAGTGAAGTAATACAAACGACGTCTCTGCCGAATATCTCCCTGTCGGATAACGAAAAATACCTAGAGAACGCGTATAGTCTCGCTTGAATCTCAAGACAAACAGTGTTTCTAAGAACTTATAGATTTCATTTGTTAAGCTAAAATCACGTTACACATGATTTCATATCTTCTGACGTGCATATTGATGCAGTTCAGTTCACTGCATAAATCGCTATTCGTAACATTGGAAGATCTGTGCAGTGAACTGAGCTACTGGTCAATATGCATATCAGAAAACATGAAGTCTTGCGTCATGTGATTCTGCACTGAGGAAAAAAGCAGTTAGATCGACAAAATCGTCGATCACCTTCAAAGACATATTATATCTATCGAACAAATTTGCATTGAGGTGCAATAATAAGTTGCTTTAATATAGTTACTGACCAAATCACAATCACTGAATCAATTGATAACTTTTATTACTACTATATAATTCTACTTATTATTGCTATATAATTCTTTCAATCGATTAAAAATTTTGTTCAAGTTTCGTTAACTCAACTACTTTTTTGTCTCATCATAGCTTTACATTGAAGTCTGTATAGTTGCTACT